CGGGATGAACGACCGAAATGTCCCGTGGAGAGTTGACCAGCTGGTTATCCTCCTCTTTCCCTCCCTCACTCCCTCTGAAGCTAATATCTGAAGCTAATATGAGCATAACTAGCCATTCAAAAAACTAACCTGTAAAGATGGAAGTGGAGAAGGAGGACCTTAATGAGATGCGTGGATATGCTCATTTCTCTAATTTTTTGTTTTCTGTGTAACTGGGAGAAGGTGTATTCTGAGATGGCTGAAAGTTGGTGTGGAAACGGGAAATGAGATTCAGATTTAATAGAAAAGGCGTGAGGTTCAAAAGGTTCATGTTGGAAATTTTTTTTTATTTACTTTTAATTTGTTAAATATTATTTGATTTAATTATTATTACTTTTATATATATATTCAACATCTGTGTATTGAAGTACAACAGCTGCGCAGCCTTTCCTTTTTCTTACCTCAGTGTTGAACACACAGCTATGAAACAATAGGGCGTACGGTAATAAGGTAAATGAAAATTACTATTTCCTTATCCTTATATTTTGTTCTATGTTAATCACTTTTCCATTTAAGTCAAGAGGGGCATAATAGGTCATTGTTGTAGTCAATTCCACAATTATATGAGCTCAACGGGTACAAAATGCATTGCACTTTTGTTGGCCACACTGCCGAACAAAATTTATAACATGTAATAAAGTGGAAAAAAATTTGATAAGTGTTTTGTAAGATTTACGTTATGATTTGTATTTTAAAATATTAAATTAGTTTGTATTTAGTTCCTTCTTTATTAATATGTATTTTTCAAAAGTGTTGACTTTAACAAAATGTTAGAAAAAAATTTAAAGCGTATTTTACAAATGATATTAATAGAAAAAATTAATTGGCATAAAATAATTGGCATTAGGTTTATTTTAAATGAAAAAAATTATTTTTTCCGAAAAAAACCCCCCCCCAAAAATTATTCAAAAAATTACAAAAAAAAAATAATTGACAAAAAAAAAATAATTTATTTTAATCAGTATTTTAAAAATAGATTTGGTTATTAGTTGATAAAAAATATGGATATCGATATATGAGTGTGTGTGATGATAATTATTGGTTGAATTAAGTTTTGAAAACTATTTTCAAAACACATCACCAAACAAATTTTCACCTTTCACATGTCACATCAAACTTCAAAACTTAATTCAAAATACATCTTCAAAACACAATTCAACATTCTATTTAAAAACCATAACCAAACAAATTTCTCTACACTCAAATATAATTCTACAACCCACAAACTCAAAATACAACTCATACTCTCAAATCATATTTTACAAAACAAAACCAAACGCAGGCTTAAAATTTCTTTTGGAGAGATAATTTTGTGGGAAGACGCGGTAAAGTAAACTTTCTTTGGACTAATTTTCTCTGGATCAACTTGAGGGACCTTAGACATTATGAAAATATTAGATATCCATTATGCTATAAAATCTTAATACGAGGGATCTTTAAAAAAAAAAAAACCTATATATTTATTTAGGTGCCGTTTGGTAACCTTACGTTTTCAGTTTTCTGTCTATATTTACAAAAAATTTTAAAAAATCAAATAAAAACTTGTTTAGTAAAATTTTTAATTTATAAATCAGTGGTCTCAGTTTATAAATTTGGCCAAAAAATGAAAACACAAAAAATGTGTTTCCGTTTTGAGTTTTGATTTTTTTTTTTTTTTACCACCCAACACTAGCCACCACCCGCCACCATTTTCCACCACCGTCTTCCGCACCACCACCCACCACCCCACCACCCACCACCACCACTATCACCCACTACCCACCCGTCACCCACCTACTACCACCACCCACCACTCACCACCGCCACCCACTCACTACCACTTACAACCCATCGTCACCCATCCACCACCACCACCACCCACTCGCTACCACCCGCCACCTGTCACCGTCACCCACCCCACCATCAACCACCACCACCACCACCACCTGTCATCCGCCACCCACCACCCACCACCACCTGCCATCCGCCACCCACCACCCCCTCACCACCACCACCTGTCATCCGCCACCCGCCACCCACCACCCACCACCTACCTGCAACCACCACCCACTCGCTACCCACCACTACCCGCCACCGTCACCCACCCACCACCACCATCACCACCCATCAACCACGCCGCCACCACCACCACCACCACCCACTCGCTACCACCCACCATCCGCCACCACCACCACCCCCTCCCCCCCCCTCCCCCCCACCACCCCCCACCGCCACCACCACCACCCACCCGCCCCCACCCACCACCACCAGCTATCCACCACCCACCGTCACCACTTTTCACCACCGTCTTCCGCCGCCACTTGCCATTTCTCATTTTTTTTTATATTTTTAAATTTTTTTAAACATTTTGCTAATTACCAAACGTATTTGTAATTTATATTTTTCTAAAAATAAACAAAAAATAAATAAAAGTCAATTTATAAAATTTTTATAAATATAAACTGAAAACATAAACGTTACCAAACATACATTTATTTATTCGTTTTACGCATTTCATCAAAAAATAAAAAATAAAAATAAAAATCTCAAATTTCTATCATTCAAAAATAGCGAGCTTGGAATTCCCTCACTGCATTTTCTCGGCAACGTCTAGGGTCTAAAAAAAAAAGGAAGAGAACAAGCAGATCAAGGCGCAACGTCTAGGGTCTAAAAAAAAAAAAAAGAAGAGAACAAGCAGATCAAGGCGAGGGCAAAGCGAGTATGAACCCTAATAGTAGTTTAATTGCAGAAACAGTATGGAGAGACATTGATTCGACTCATTCAGGTTCTTCACTCCTCCTTCAATCTCTTTCATTCATATCAAATTCGTACTCTCTCTCTCTCTCTCTCTCTCCATAGACTAATCGATACATTTCACTTGTTCATGTATATCTGCTTCGTGGCTTCAACATTGATTGTGATCGGAATCGTACAGTAACGGACGACCAGCTCTCAATGTTAGTCTACATATATACATAGATATACATATATATGCATACATACATGTGTAATTTATGTGAATCTTAATTGATTATGAAGAATTGATAGATGTGGTAGAATGAAAATAGAAATTTGAAATGGTTTGATGGTGTTCTTCTGCAAACAGCTTGCATTTTTTGTTTGGTAAGAATTTCGAGCGGGCGAGTAGGATAGTGGATCAACGAGGTGTGAAGAGGATTTCCGGTGAACCCAGTGGGCGTTCTTTCTTTCAGGTTGATTCTCCAATATTCCTTCCTCATTTTGTCAACATAGTATCAAACTTTTGCAGATTTTGATCCTATCTCTGCTTTAAATTCAGAATTTCAATGTTCTTGAAAAAGAAAAATTCAAAGATTCACTTGTTTTGGGCGTATAATAATTTACTGAAATGTAGATAAAAAGATTGAGAAATTTTATTGAAATTTGATGGAATGTGGCCAGTTAACTAGAAAATATTTTATGCTATTCTTGGATCTAGGATTTATGGGGAGTGATATGAAAAGGAATGGGAAAAGAAAACTTTACAAACTTGGATTTAATGTTTAAAAAAAAAAAAGAAAGAAAAGAATTTCAATACATTCTTATATATATTTCTATACACGCTTCACGCATTTCAAATATACTTTTTGCACATATACCAACATGAACCACCCCCATGCATTTCCTTTCTTTTATTTTGGAGAAATTTTGAACTATCATTTATTTGTTGTATTTAGGTTGTCGGAGAATCTCGGAGGAAGGAGGAATATTTCTGTTTCGCAGAACACTATTGTGGTTGTTATTCATTTTTCTATGACATTGTAAATAGAGGAGAACAGCTTTGTGTGAGTTTGGCATACTTTCTTGACAGTTATTTCTGTTTTGCAAAATCTCTTGTTTATTTATTTATTATATTTTTATTTTATGTTTTGATAATTTCTCTTTGTTTCCCTTCCTCTGCCAGTGTAAGCATCAATTAGCTGCAAGACTTGCAGCGTCGCTAGGAGCATGTGTTGATGTCAAGGTATCTGATAAGCAACTAGCTCTGTTGCTTTCCAAACTCTGACACTTCAATGGAAGCTACAATTTGCATTTAGAGTTGAAGAGGTAATCAGCAAGCAAATTATATCTGAATAGATTTATCAATTATGTCTTAATGCTTTTGTATCCAGAACTGCTTTGGGGAGTTCGAATTTCAGTATGTGCTTGATTGTGCATGGAATTTTAGATTTTATGCACATCTAACAGGTTGATGGTTAGCACTAGTTTTATACACACCAAACCTTTCCTTTCTGCTATAAGCCTTATTCAATCTTGAGATAGAACATTAGTTACGAGAAATTTTACAGTTTTTTTTTTCTCCTTTTCTTATTGTTGAACAAGCTCATTGTAGATACTATGTAGGATGTCATACAATTATGGTTTTATGTCTGAGGCTTTGGCTTGCATCTTGCGTTGACTGGATAAAATATGATACACATGTATGGTTTTGCATATTCTGGGTTTTCTATAATTTGCTTTGCTAGATAATATTGGACTTCTATAAAAACTGTAAAACTGTATAATACACTTCACATTTTTCTGAGTTCATTTTCCTTCCATGGTTTATGTCACAGGTTATGAATATGGATGCAAAGAAGCTACCATATGGTGCTTTTCTGTCAACTGTTAATTCAGCTCTAATCTTGAATAGTGAAAATTGCACGCGCTCGCAGTTGTTCTTGGTGTTCAACCATCTGGCTTTTGCTAATATGCCAGATTCAAGGAAAACTGAAGCCAAATTTGCAGGAATTGATCAGTTTGGCCCAAATTCTACTCACTATGAGCAGGAAAATGATGCTTTTTGCAAACAAGCTAACATTCTATCTCATGGACAAGTTGGAATGTGTAAACCATTTAATTCATCCTACTTTCTATGTAATTGAGGTTAGTTCCCCCTTCTTTCTTGGCTGAATTAGAAATTTCGTCCTCTGGTGAAATGATGGAAATACACAATGAGATGCAATTTGCTAAATTTATTGGTTCCGCTTTCCACTTTGGCCCAATAAAGAGCTAATGTGTAGAAGGGTTCTTCTTTGTGTTCTGGCTCTGAAATTTCAGAATTATTACCCTGTTCTAGATCCATCAAACAGTTAATAATTTACGGACTTGATTTTCACTAGAGGCAACAAAACCATAGGCACGAAAGATAACAATAATCATAGTGATAAATAATGATGAAATGAACAAATACAAGAATAGGAACCAAAAAAAGTGTGTTTCAACAAAACCATAGGCACGAAAGATAACAACAATGATGGTGATGAATAATGATGAAATGAACAAATACAAGAATATGAACCAAAAACAGTGGGTTTCAAAAGCAAATGTTTGCCTTTGTGATTATTTTGTTCTTTCAAAGTAATGTTACATGCACAGAAAAAAAAAATACAGAAATATGCATAAACAAGTCTGACACGTCATTCTGTGCACAGTTTTCGTTGAATGTAGAAAATCACCAAGAAAACCCAAATCGGCATCCAACCTAAGGAACAATTTTGTAAGCTTTCATCTTATCAATCCAAGAAATGAATGATGATTTCGAGTTCCTAAACCCCAAGAACCCATGCTCTTTGCTCTTGTTCATAGTATCCAACATACCCTTACCACTGAGAACAAAATCAACAAACCACCACCCTCCAATCTCCTCCAATTTAGTAGGAACCAACTCCTTCTCCGCCACAATCGCCTCCCAAACCGGGCCTTTGCCTTTCATCATCTCCTCCAACCTCAAATCTGATCCCACCTCAAACTCCCCACACTCCACATCAAATTGCTCAGCCAACACCTTCCAAAGATGATTCCACTTGAACACATCCCCATTGCTGCAATTGAAGGCTTCGTTCATCGCATATGGATCCACGGCCGCCCATATCTGGTGCTCAGCGATCAAGTCAGCATCTGACACGTCCGAATACCCCTCCCATGCCTCCAGGGTCCCTGGAAACCTCATCGGCACACCCTCATGCTTACATATAGAAGCATATACACACAAAGTTCCGACCATATTCATCAGACTATACGGCGAAAACCCAAATATCACACCAGGCCTGTGCACGGACCATGTCAATCCCTCTTTCTTCTTCACCTCTTCGAACAGTATGTCTTCGAGAGTATGGTAGAAATTCGGAACATCCAGCCTCGGAAGATCCTCGTGAAATGGAGGGTCATGGGGTTGAACTTTGCCGAGGAGCTCAAACGGGCCGATGTAATGTTTTCGGCCCGTTTGGAGGCATATGTGTTGTAGATTGGGTGCGTTTGGTATCACCGCGTTGAGCACGTTCCTCAACATGGTTCCGTTGGCTTCGCAATTCTCAACCTCGGTGGGCCGGCTGGTCCAGGTAACATAGAAGAGGTGGGTGACATCTTGGAGCTTGGAGAGCTTAGAGTGGGTCTCGTCAGTGTCGGAGACATCGCACTGGATGTATTCGATAGGGTGGTGGCATTCCAGGAAGGTCGAGGGCGGCGTGCCAACCCGTAGACCTTCCAGGGGCCGCCGGGGGTGTCGGTGAGTGGGAGGATCTCGGCAAGGCTGTTGCCGACGATTCCTGTCACGCCGATGATCAGGGCAACGCTCTCATACTTAGGGGGTGCATCATCTTCTTGGAGTTTCTTCTGCAGATTTATAAAAGAGTTTTTTTTTAGATTCAATATTGTTGAAACACTAAGATATACAGATACTTGCCTTTGCAGCGCCGATTGCACCTGCCCACCACCAGCTCATTTTGTTGTTTTTGGTTCTGGGTTGCAGGGAGAGAATAGATGAAGACAAGTGAGAGAGACAGAGAGAGAGATTGTTTGAGGCGAGAGAGTATCTTATGTTATTTAACGGGTGGCGGTGTAAGAGCTTCTCAGTAATGGTTGAGAAATTGAATTTGTTTGCGACTGAAGTGTGAATACATTGATTTTGATTGGGGTAAAATAATTAGATTTATATTCAAAAAAATGTATTGATTTCACTGAAAAAAACGAACTACTTTTATAGAGACAAACACGTTCACGATATATCTTCTCGTCCACTTAACACTTCGGAATGCATTATTTTTACAGAGATAAAAGGCACTTTTACATCGTGGTGTTTGGAAAGTGAGTTTTTTTTATTATAGGATATTATTGGAGAAATTTTTTTTTATGTTTAGAAAAATAGTTGGATTTTTTTGTGGTTGGATGTGATATTTGTAAGAAAAAAAGTGAAATAATTATAGGATTTGATGTGATATTTTATTTGAATTTATTTTTTTTTTAATTTTGTAACCAATTTATCTTTTAATTAAAAAAAAAGAAAGAAAAAAACACCAAAAAATCCTTCCCAAACACCCCATCTTCTTTAACTTGAAATGCTCCTTTTTAGAGACGGGATGAGTCACGATATTTATAAAAATAAACAACATTTAAACAACAATGATTCATCCCACTAAAAACATCACCACTAATAGCACTAATACATTAAAAAAGCAAAAAAAAAAAAAATACAACTCTAAAACCAAAACATCACATCATTAATGACGAGACCCACTGCCACCTAATTAGTGGGAGCACTAATTAGTACTTCCAAGCATTTTTCACATTTAAAATGCTGGATAAGATAAGGGATGAATTAGAATGGGAAATGGGGCCAAACCAAAATGTCACCGTCTCATACAATGACAATGACGTGGAGTGCCGACCACGGAAAAATTATTGGTTGGTGGAAGACTTAACTATATTTTTGATCAATCACAATTTTTTTTTTTTTTTGTTTTTAAATTATTTAATATAAAATCATAAATTTTATTTTTTTTTATAAATCACAATATTTGTAAAGTATTATGTGACTCTATCTCTGAATCAATCAATAATTTTTCTTAACCATCGCATTAGAAATAAAAAAACAAAACAAAACAAAACAAAACAAAAAACAAAAAAAAAAACAACTTGCTTGCACGCTTACCAAGGCCAAGTTTGGCATGAGGCAAAAAAGACAAAAAGTCAAAAAGTCACTATCCTATTTAAGTCACATCATCTTATTTAAGTCACATCACATCTCTAACATATCACTTCAAACCCAACCTAAACTCAACTCATATTTAATAAAAAGTCAAAAAGTACACTTATTTAGTCTTCCCAAACTAGGCCCAAGTTACTAGGTGTACAAGGCTTGAATGATAAAAGAATTTTAAACAAAAATGATCTGTAACATTTTTGTTTTGATAAGAATTTTTAGTGGAAAAATGTTAAAAAAAATTTTAAAAAAAACATCTGATTATTAATTTTTTATTTCTAAATATTGATATTACTTTATAAGAAGAGAAAGTGAGAAAACCATATTTTAATCTATTCTAATGGTTCAAATCATAGGAAAGTCAAATTATATTATCATTCCTTTTCAAAATTTCTGTCATCCAAACTTATCCTTAGAAATACTTGGAACTTGACTTTGGTGAAAATGCAAGCATCTCATATTTTAATCTATTCTAAAGGTTGAAATCATAAGAAGGTCACTTTATATTATCATTCCTTTTCAAAATTTCTGTCATCCAAACTTATCCTTAGAAATATTTGGTGTGTGAGTGATTTTCCGATCACACTGTCCTCCTTAGTAATTCAGCTGCAGAACACAGGTAGAATAGATGACACCTTGCTGTCCTGCACAGAAAGAGAAGGCTCCGGCGGTGGTTCTTCCACCCGGGGGCACTCCGACGATCAAGTCAGTATATCTTTAAAAGATAATCAAGTGCAAAACTTACTGCTCAAAGCATAAAATTGTGTACCTTAGACCCATGGGGGTGCCTCTCTTTTATAGTTTACTCAATCCTAGTCCCACTAGAAGCTTGACTTCTATGGACTCTAATTTTGTACTTACTTTGGATTCCTCAAGAGATAACTAAGAGCTTTATCCTTATCTTAACAAAGTCTTCTCTTTACTCTAGGACTCTTGCCCCTTATCCATTATCCGCTTATCTCGGATTCCGATATCTTCGGAGATAACCTCGGCCTCGCTGAGGTAACCTCGGCGTCACAATCAGGACACGTGGCACTTCGGCTGACATGTCGGCGTCACCTTGCCACGTGTTGGTATTCAGAAAATACATCCCCACAACTGCCCCCTAGATTCTATTACCTCGGTATTCTGAGGTGATGGAACCTATATCTGTATTTACTTCCAGTAAATCGGCTTAAGATTTGACAGCCGAGATCATTCATTTCTGGCCGACCTGCTTTTCTTAAAAAATCAAGATTTTTAAGGATCTTCTCACGCACATGAACTGTCATGCACTTTAACTCAACCGTTTTAATCACGCATTTCTTTCTTACTGGCTCGTGCCTGTGACGCGCCCATAAGTCATCTCTTCTTCACATGCGTCGTTTGTCGTATGCGCTCTTTTAGGCGTATTGATTACTTTTTTGCCGCCGTTTTCATTTTTTGCCAAAATCTTTCCCCCTTTCTTTCGTCTTTTCACTTTTGCATCTGAGTTCTCTTGTTTTTTCTCTCTCTAAAAACTCTTTCTTTCAAATCCGCCATCGCTCAAGCTTCCCAAGCTCTGCAACTTTCTCCGTTCACCCCTTCCGGCGAGATTTCCACCGGTCTTCTGCTTCTGCAACCGTCGTAGAACATCGGCAAATCCCTTTCCGGCCTCCCTTTCTTTGGTAAGCTACTGTTCCTTTCGTTCTCATTTCCTTGATGTTTCTGCTTTCTTGTTGTTGCCATTACTGTACTGTTTTAAGCTTTTTTTATTCATAAATCATATATCTAAATGCATTCATCCCTGATTTTTGCCTTTGCCAATATTTTGAACACACGCACTGTTTCACCACTTCTTCGCACTTTTGCCACTGTTCTTGGCCATATACTTTTGTATTCTTCATGTTCTTGATAGCCCATCTCAATTCTTGTTTCTGAGATTTCGTTTTTCCTGTTTTTTTTGCATCTTTTCCAGATCTGTACTTTTGATCTTCATCTTCATAGCTTTAGGTTTGGGATTTATTTGTAGAACCCATAACTTAGGAAAAAACTAACACCTGCACCTACT